AACCGTTGGTGAATAACAAGCTAGTTTAGAAAAGAAAAATCGATAAACTATTTTTTATATTATTTATATTATTACTTTCATTGATATTTAATCTTTGAGAACTTGTTATGGATGCTGTGTTTGACATTATTGTTGAATCTTTTACTGTTGAAATGAAGACATCTAAGAATAATGATTACTTAAAATTCAACCAAAATGACTCTAATCAATATACCTTCCAGAGTTTGTGTCGTACTTTCAGCGGCAGTCGTTTGAATAATACGTGTAGTACTACTGCTGGTGGTAGTAGTAGTGCTACTTGATGTACTACTGCTACTTGTTATAGTACTTGTGGTAGTAGTAGTAGTATTAGTGGTACTTGTAGTACTGCTACTACTTGTAGTTGTACTGCTGCTGGTGGTGGTAGTGGTAGTTATACTACTGCTACTTGTGGTACTGCTAGTCGTAGTGCTACTCGTGGTACTGGTTGTAGTAGTGGTAGTGCTACTAGTGGTGGTGGTAGTACTACTTGTTGTACTGCTACTGCTTGTAGTCTTACTCGTGGTAGTAGTTGTAGTGCTAGTTGTGGTACTGCTGCTGCTCGTAGTAGTAGTGGTGGTGGTGGTGGTCGGTATTGCTGAAATATAAAACAATAGTACTTTATTCAGTCAAATTAGAGAGAATTTACACTAAAAACATCAATATGAAATTTTTTTGTCAATTTTTCAAATGATAGTCGCAAAAAACTAATTATCAATTACAACTCCATACTATTCCGTTATATACAAGGAAACTTACTGCAATTGTTAGTTTCAAGAGTGAATTGTTGCACTCGACTATTATTTCGATCAGTAACATATATATTTCCATAGCTATCAAAAGCCATACTTTGTGGAAAGGATAATTGAGATGCCGATGAACCACCTCCTGAACATCCTACTATACATCGAAAACCATAATAACTTGAAGCAACAATACGATGATTATAACTATCGACAATAAAAAGATACCCATTAGCATCAAGGACAATTCCAGTTGGATAGTTGAGTATAATATTTGCCGATGAACCATTACCAACAATTGTCACTCCATTTAACTGACCAGTTTCAATGAATTGAATACGATTGTTAGCGCAGTCTGCAATATATAGATTTAAATTACTATCAACATAGATTCCTTGAGGAGAATTAAGCATATTTGATAATGATCCAGCAGAACCATTACCGGCTGCAATCGTTGGAATGGTTGTACCATTATTAAGTAAGAGTTTAACAACTTGATGATGATTTTTAAGTGAACAATAAAGATTATTACTAATATCAATAAATAAACCATAACAACTTCCATTAACATTCATAACTGTAACACGATTTGATGTATTAAATATATATTTATCGACTCGACCATATGAATAACCATTATCAATATAGATATCACCAGCCATAGACATAAAGAGACTATATGGATTGCTCAAATTACTATAAGTATTAGTTGTTGATGTATTACTACCTTGAGGCCATAATAAAATAGTGTTACTAACTCGATTAGGTACATATACAGTATTAATTCCATTAATAAAAATACCATATGGGAATGAGCCAATTGTACTACTTGATGCAAAAGTTGATGCATTAGAATACCATAAAGCATTTGAGCAAAATGTTGGTTGATTATAAGAAAGACCTAAGAGAGATAAATTTATATCATTGAAAACATAAACTAAAAATAACTTACTACATGAATTTGATGCTAATATAAACTTTTGCACTCTGTTATTACCTTTATCAGCGACAAATAAATTTCCATAGCTATCAAATTTTAACATTCCTGGATATTGTAACTGAGTTGATGCAGAACCAGTCCCTGTACATCCAAATAAACATCGAAAACCATATGGTCCTGATCCAACTAGTCGATTATTAAAACAATCCGTAATAAAAAGATATCCATTACCATCTAATATAATACCATTTGGTTGATTAAGTGTAATAGTTCCTGGTACACTAGCTCCTGCTAAAGTTATTGCAGTTAATTGTCCAACAGGAAACATTTGTATTCTATTGTTAAGACAATCTGCAACATATAAATTAATTTGAGCATCGACAAAAATTCCAATAGGTTTATTAAGTCTAGTTGCTGTTGATCCAGCTGTACCGTTACCAGCAACAATAGTCGATGTGAGTATACTATCATTCAACCATTTCTTAACTACTTGATGAGAACCCCATGCTGAACAATAAAGATTATTACTAATATCAACAAAAATGCCAGAACATTCATTAGGAACTGACATTACAGTAGTGCTTATGTTTGAATTTAATGAAAATTTATCAACTCGACGATTATTTATACCATTATCAACGTATATATCACCTAGAGTAGTAGCGAAAAGATCATATGGTGTACTCAGATTACCAGAAAGAATTTTATCTGGATTAGTACTTCCTTCGAACCACACTAGAACCTTATTAGTTTGTTGATTAGCTACATAGATAGTATTATCAATACCAACAAAAATACCATATACGTGAGTTCCAGCCGTACTACTATTGGCAAATGTAATTGCATCTGTATACCAAGTTGTTGATGGACAAAAATTTGGTTGATTAAAAGAGACAGCTATAAACAAAGAATATTAGATTGAAATCAACATAAGAGATAGTTATGGTTTGTATTGAATATGACTCATGTGCACTCGATATAAAGGAAAAACTATACATTTTTGACAATAAATTCAAATAAGAACTTTATTAACTATAGCTCAATGGCGTTTGATGATAGTATTTTGAGTTTCTCTCAGCTATTAGAATAACTGTTAAGTTATGTTCTACTCTATAAGATACTTACGATAAGTAGTATTTGGTATTGACATAAACTTTTGTACTCGATTATTACTTTGATCCGTAACATATATATTTCCATAACTATCAAAACTAAAAGTCGATGGACTACTTAATTGATTGGATGCTGAACCACTGGTAGACGCACA